ATTATATCAATGGTTTTAGATTTCTTACTTATCTGAGGTCTCTGAGAAATATGCTTATAACACAGGACCTTCTTAGTTTTGTCAAGAGTCTTTATTTCTTCAGTCAGTGTTAGGAAGATGACAAAATAATTGAAAGAGAGGATCTCTCTTTCTTTTTCACCTTTTTCCCTCTTTAATGGCTTATAATTTTTTAATTATTGATGAGAATTTAATTTGTGTGCTCGACGCTTTTATAAAATTGTCGCATTAAGAACACCTTATATAACTTCCACCATATAAGATTTATATTTTCCTAGAGGAAGATTTGTTAGCTATCTTTCACTAAGCTATTTACAGGTAAGAGAAGAGCTTCGGAAGAAGAGAAATTGTTAAATGCATTAATGATAATTATTTCTTTGCATCAATAAAATTAAAAAGGGAACACTTCATTTTTTAATTTCTTCTTTGTCTTTAATGATTTGCGATTTTTAGTTAATGATGTGAACTTAATTTTTGCAATAAACATTTTTAAAAAATGTTCTTTTTAAGAAACTGATTTCTTTCATATAAGATGCGCATAATTTTCACTTCATCACTTGCAGTTATGACGAAATTCGAAACGACTTAAATTTTCTTTTCTTTATCAATTTTTAAATGAAACAAGATATATTTTGTTAAACAGGAAAACACTGAGCAGTTTACATTAAACTCTTCCGCTCTAACAAATAAAATTTACATTTTGAACAATTTTGGCTTCCGCTGGTATTGGATAAGAATTCGGAGGACTTATTTTTTAATTGTGAAACCTTTCAATATTTTGAGCGGCTTCTCACGTGAAAAATCCTTTGTGATGATAAAGTTAGAATCACTGTCGAGAAAAGTTGACCAGCCTATAAATTATGTCATAGCTTGTTCTCATATTTATTAGCATTATCACGTTAATTTAGCACGTTTTATTATAAAAACACAGTTATAAAACAGATTTTTCAGGCTATATTTTAAAATCAACGGAATTATTTAGTTTAAATGAGAATGAATGATATCTTCTTATGAGATTGCTTCTTATAAGCATTGTTGATATGGTAAAATATGGATTATCATGATATCTTATCTTATTTTCTCCTCTGTTTTCGCTTATTCTGACCAAAAAATTGAATGTTCTGTGGAAAACTGGACTTTTTTTCTTTTGAAATTGAGTAGAGATACTTTATTAACAATAAATGATCTACAAAGAATTTCAAGATTATGAAAGATTGCTACATTGCTACATTATTGATAAGACGAATGAGTGATTGAACAATTCATCTCTGACCATCGAACTGAACGATCTTTACTTATGGCTTAATGTTTCTGAGTACAAGAATAAAATGAAATGCATTCAGTGCTCGCGATAAAAATTCCATTTATTCTTTGTAAAAGGTTCAGAAACAGAAACAGAGCTATTCAATACTCGTTATCTCGAATTTAGCATTTCTTTCGAATTCCGAAAATTATGGAAGTACGTCATTTCAAGCTGAGAAATTTATTCCAATAAACTTTAAAACTACTGAATATATAAAATACTTAGATCTAGCTCTATCTATTTTATAGTAAGAGTATCTTTTGAATTATTTACGACTTATGAAGCCATCTCTTTTGTATTGATCATTAGTAGAGCAACATGCAATTATATACAACTAATTGCTCACCTACAAATTGCAGAAAATCAGTTCAAAAAGCATTTTTAATGATCACTAAAAACTAATTTTACTACCCAGCGTCGGTGTTTTTAATTTTAATGTCCAAATAATCAAGTTGGTAAAACTTTGGAGTGACCACAACAAGTGGAATTTATCCCTATTTCTCAACCTTGACCACAACGTCGATTCTCCCAAAGTTTACTTAAAAAAGGGATTGTATTTAACGGAGAGAAGATAGGAGACTTTTTTCATGTTATGCTTATGATAAGAGATTTTAAAGAAGTCTTTCTTTTAGAATTATTTAAAAGTTTACTGCAGGAAACATTTTCCATATGGAAGTTTTTCAGATCAAACCATAATTACTGCCTTAGTCTATTTTTTAATCTAGTTCTATTCATTTCATTTCCAATGTCTCTTCTCTTACTACATTAGCATTGTATTCGCTGCAATTTGAAAAATGAAATGTCTGACATGCATTGTTGCTTTTCCTGTACTTGCTCAGAGCTCAGAGAAGTGAAATAGTGAGCCGTAAGTATTACAAGTTAAATTGGAGATGCTAATGTTAAATGAGTTGCAGTTAAGAAATAAATGTGAATTTCAAGATTAAAAGAAGCACAAATGGAATATCTCAAAGATTAAAATATGATGATGAGAAAAACATGAATTACTCAAATAAATCAATAACTTTTCTCATTTTAACTGATATCCATCATCATAGACTTAATTTAACTGAATGGTGAACAGATATTCTGAAAGTTTCCTGACATGCAAGAAAAAAAATTGTTTTCAATCATTAGGATTCAAAAGGTTGTCCTTCCCAGAGACAAATGAATTCGTAGTTTTATGTTATGATGCCATTAAATTCAAATTGTTCCAGGAAAATAAAGAATTTTTCAAAGAAAATAAAAATAACATGCCACGCCTGCCGTTCAGTGTTTTTTGCCGATAATATATTTTGCTATTCGCTTATGTTACACAGTCATCGTATTTGAGCCGAATAATTCCGTTTCTTATTTCAGAAAAAGTTTTCTTGATATTGTGGACCTTATCGTATCATATCTAATGACACTATGAAATGATCCTTCTGTTGACTAAACACATCAGCGTTATCTATTAGCTGTTCCATAAGCTTCGTCATATTATTTTTATAAATAATAAAAAATACGGTAAAATTTTTAAATGGCAGTAAAATTAATTAGAAAAGGGAAAAAAATTTTTAATAAATTACTTTTAACTAGCATTATTGTATTTGGCTCTCAGTACTTTAACACTTTTTACTGTTTTGAACAATGAAAAATAATTAGCATTAAAACTTGAATTGTTGTTCTTAAAATGCTCTTAAAAATTAGGTATTCAATAGTTGAATAAAAAAAATTAAATAAGTTTAATCACTTAATAATATGAAATAAAATTAAGGTAGCTAGAGAATTCGTGCAGATAAATGTTTCAAATGACTTCTAATTATCTGCAAGTCTGGAAATGAATGAAAGTTTTTTACAATAATTTCATGAAAATTTCCGATGACGATACCCAACTTCTGAAGTACCATGTATTTCAAAATAGTTCACAATATTGGTAGAGTTTACAGCAATAATTTATATTTTATACCTTTAAGTTTTTCTACAAGCTTATATCTTTTTTCATAATCCAATTTTATAACATCATATCAGAAATTGCTACCATTAATTTCTATTTTTTCGAGTATTTCGAATATTTTCGAGTATCTTGATCTTTAAAGTTGAAAAGAAACTCAACAAATCTATTATTATTTCCGGATATTTCTATGTGATAAAAAAATCATTTTAAGTGTCATTAAATTTTAATGCATGGAAGCAGAACTTTGAATTGTTAAATTGTTTCAGCGAGACATTTTGAATCAAATTTTCTATTTAGAAATGAGAACACATAAAATTTGATTGGTTCTCAAGTATGAGAATTGTTCTCTTTCTCATTATAGCTAAAAAAAATATTATTAGATAAGTTGTATTTAATCAATTCAGCTACTATAAAATGGCAAAACTGCGGTTTATGCAACACTGTCAAATCTAAACAACTTCTGGTATATCACAACAATACTGATTGCATCATGTAAAATGTAAGCGAGAAAATTGAGAAACGTCTTGGAGTAACTAACTCCTCGCGCTTTATAATTTAATAAAAGAGCTTAAAATTTTTGAAATTTTTGGTAATTTTTATTGACTATCAAACTTGTTCTACATTGGATTGATGAAGAAGTAATTATATAATTTTGTACTGTGTTTTCAAAGGACTGTTGCAATATTATATATGATTTCAATACTCATATCTTATATTCCTCTCTTCCTATTTATTCAATCTATTTTAGATTAAAGAAATGATAGACAAACTGTAGACTCGAACGTTTATTTACATGAATTTAAGAAGCAGAAAAAACTTTTGCTATCAACAGCACAATTGGCTCAGAAACTGCTCACAAGATTTAATGGAATTCCACTCAAGTTTTGTGATAGAGATAAGTACCTTGAAGATAAAATGCATAATGATTGAATTTGATATTTAAAGTAAATTAGTTTGGTTTTTTTGTTTCTCCGATGATCAAACAACAACAACAACGGATCACTTCTCGATCGGATAGTGACGTGTGACTTCTTATGGAAAGTAAATTGCATAACACAAGCGACAATAACCGTTTTCATGGAAACTTAATTTGCACTAAAAAATATTATGGACATTGTTTGATAAGTTTGATCAACTGCAGTTCTTCGAATCTCGGAGAAACATCAAGGAAATATATTTTGGTATTTAAGAAAAATATAGTCGTCGTGTCGTTTCTGATTTGTGGTCAGAAAATTAGTGGACACATTCATGTGGAAAAAAATTCATTGGTGGCTTCCAACTTAGTTCTGGACCAAGTACTAGAAATAAACAAAATTAGAAATTGTAGTATTTGCCCGAAGTTTTATCCTATTAAGAAGTTTATTAGCCATATTAGCTTTTTCCTGTGTGATACCGTTGAAATATTTAAGCCAAATACACTACACCAATAATTATGGTTGAAGTAACAAAAATTATTGTGTAGTAATTTTCTTTAAAATGATTAATTTCCCGTTTTCCTTAATAAACCAGTCCTCTCTGTCGTTAGATTTCTTTCTTATCAAAAGATAGGATAACAATTCATCTCTGTGTGTCATATGACTCATCTAACGGATTTGTTAGTTTTTAGCATATGTCAACCGATGCGATGTTTATGCTACATCGTGACGCTATCTACGAACTACTGCATATTTTTCAGAGTTTGTGTTGAAAAACAAAAGATTTAAAATTGAAATTGCAAAGAGTTCAAGCCAGACGATCTCTTCGATTATGGTACAGATTCGATGTATTGGAACCAGTTCAATTATTTATTTCACTCTTTGTGTCGGATTGTTTGTCTTGACAACATTTACAAATGCCAATGTAATAAATGAGGAAGATGATGAACCTGTTCGTTTGTCTTTGTTACTTTAAAAACATTCATATCATAAGATCTGCAAACCTACAGAATCAGATAGTACAACTCATTTGTCATAGATCAATAGAAAAGATTGTGAAGCAGTTCAACTGCTCGGATCTCCTGCAATACATAAACCCTAACTGTTGTTGCTCGTAATTAAAAGGTTAGAATATGGATTACCTATGCTTTAGACAGTCTTAGTGTAGTTTTAAAATCTATATTGTCTTCTGAAATATCCCGAAGGTAACTAGAAGTTTAAGAAATTTATCTGGCCTGGATTAATTTTTGATACAAATCGAGTTAACAAATATGACTTATTGATTCTCAACTTGTTTCTTTTGGTGTTCCTTTGATTCTTCAAAATATGCCAAATTTTAGATCAGTGAGAACGCAAAACATTGGTATCCAGCGTTGTTGAGGTCGGAACCGCAATTTGGATTTGAACGTGGTTCTCGTTCTCATGGCAAGCCAACATTTATCCGTTTTGGCAAGCGATATTTCGATGCTTACAATCCTAATCTTTTCAACAACAAATGAATCATGCCCAAAGGATCATGAAATGATGCGGGCTTTTAGTAATTTCATCCACGACTAAGAAACTTGATACCTATCTATTGTGATATCATTTCACCTTGCTAATATTGCTGGGGAGAACCACTGATCATAATATTAAGCCGAAGGTTCTATCAAATTTTTTCGTCTTAGTAATATATCAACAAAAAGTCAATGTGCCCGGTAAAGCAGTATTTTTGCCAATCGGTGCCCCGAGTGCAGTAAAACGACAAATGGAATGAGGTGAATAAAGCGGGAACTGTAGGAAGAGTCAATTAATTGGAACACTGCTTTTAGGTCTTCAATTCCTTTAAATTCAGTTTACTGACTCTGTTCTGTGATCTTTTATTTATATGCCACTGGATTATGCAGCATACTTTCATAACAGGAACCATTGTCTTTGTTGTAGTGTGTTACCATCTGGTAATAGTCAGCAGTACCTTCAAAGATGTTATTAGCCTTACCATTTCCTTCTCCCAAAGTATACTAAGTAACCCTTAACTCCAGTTTGTAAAGAAAGACCAAAGGAAAGCAAAAGTGTATCCAGAATCCAATCCAACAGATCTCATTCAACCACCCTGAATTCTTTATATCCTAAGCTTGACATCAAATATAAATTCATCCTTTTTTGATCTTCTTGAAAAAAGCAACTGATATTAGCTATTTTTAATTAATGGATAAATAAGCATTTTGTAGAACCCAACAAACATGCAAACCTTAAAATGCAGAAGCACAATTATCAAATAAAACCAGTACACACATTCAATACACTACGGAACATATGCAACAAGCTACTGTCGAATTTTACTTTTAAGACCATTTTCTTCAGCCGAAATTTGAACGCACATGACATGCTTTGTGAAGATACTATGAAGAACAAAGCCTTTGAATTCTATTAATTTCAATTTAGTGTCAAAAGCATCCAAAAATAAATAGTACAGAATAGAAAGTAAGTAAGTTCAAATTAAATCATTTTGGTCAGTATCTATGTTTCAATTCACTTTTACCAAAATTCATTGCGAAGATTATGAGTGTTAGGTTTGACTCTACAAAATCATGCATTCTCATCTCTTGATCTCTTCAAAGACCTTTGATACCGCATTGCACTTCGTACAACTGCGCGGCAGATTTCTGAAGCTGCTTTATCTGAAATAAATTTAAACGTTTCCCACTTTCCCAGAGAACTTGTTATGCCTATCTGATGCTAGACAAAGTATTAAAAATCGAAAAACCTAAAACTAGCAGCATAAAAACTGAAAAGAAAAGAAAACAAATGCGCAAAAGAAACGAAAAAATAGTTAAAACAATGAGCATATTATTGATTTCAAAATAAATTTTCAAAATATTGTAACTTAAAATATACCTCAGTTTCATTCAGATTCTGTTTTACGATGTGAGTGATGCCATTTTCACCAAGAACGACTGGAAGCGATAGATAAACGTCTTGATTAATGCCATGTAAACCCTGCAGCAAGAGTTATTAAAGCTAATAACTTTTAGCCAGTTATAAAACCGTTTTGAAAATTATCTAAAATATGAATTAATCTATATAATAAATCTATTCATAACTATTTCATTAACTATTCGTGAGTTTTCGATCTCTCACAACTACTTAGTGAGCACGAAAAAAAATTAAAAACTAAAAAATAAAAAACGAAAAATAAAAATGACAATAAAACAAACTTTGACGTTGACGGAAAGAGCACAAACTGAACGCGTATTACGAAGAGCAATTGAGGCAATGGCAGCTGTGGACATACCAATAGCCCAAGAAGTATAACCTTTCAGCTTGATGATCTCATATGCACTAAAACGTTAAAATAATTTTTAAGAAATCAAAACATGTTAAAGAATTCATAAGACCACTTTCAGTCATTGTAATCTAAGATACTGTGTTAATAATTCTAAGCTTGTGAAATTTACTGGTAAAGTGATGAAATTCTTATTAGATGGAACGAACATGTCCAGGAAATTGAAATATACAGAAAGAGAAATATAATAAAAATATTAAAACGTGCGCTGAAACAACTCCTTTATGAACTTCTTCCTGCCATTTGTCTGAATCAGCGCTCTTACCAATGTCCGGCTTCACGTCCCGTAATGCAACACCTGCTACATTAACACCAGACCAAACCGGAACTAAAAATTACTGCAATAAAAATCAAGTGGCGAAATGATGTAGTATGAGACCTTGCAGTGAATGAATCTTAACTAATCTATGACGAAACCAACCGCTTGAATCGCCATGTTCACCAATGATCCATCCGTGACAGCTAGTTGCTGCAATTCCAAGTTTCTCGGAAAGCAAAAAACGGAAACGAGCAGAATCAAGGTTCGTTCCACTACCGAATACACGGTGTGGTGGTAGACCAGAAATCTTCCATGCAACGTAGGTGAGTACATCGACTAAAAAAAGTTAAGAAATTTAGCATCACTACTAAAATTGATAATTAATGAAGTGCTTATAAATACATCGTTCAGTTCTTGAAAGTTAATGAAACGACCCATGCATTGCTTAAAAGCGACAAAAATCAAGGAAACGTCGTAACCAACAAAAGAAATACTGGTCAGCTTAAATACAGCTCTTTCTTTGATGAGCATAAAAAAAAGTTTTTCAGTTGAAGATTTTAAAGAAAAATTAAGAACTTTTTACTCAAACGGGAAAAATGAAACCTGGATTGGAAACAATCAAAAGCATAGCATCCGGAGAATTGGCTACCAATTTAGGAATGATGCCCTTGAAAATTTCTACATTACGCTGCACTAACGAGAGGCGACTTTCACCCTCACGTTGACGAACACCCGCTGTTACTACACAAAGCTTCGAGCCCTTGGTGATTTCATAATCTATAATTTAAAAGATTTAAATAAAAAGTGTCAATATTAACAAACAGGTTTAAATACGCTCATAAATGTGAAACCATATGAACAAACATTAATCAAGCATCACTCCAAAATAAGGAGTTCATAAATTACCGACGGAGGCACGAATGATACACGGGTTCATAAATGGGACACCATGTTGCAGATCCATCATTTCTCCCTTTAACTTGTCCGCTACGACATCCACCAAACATAGCTCACTGACAATATTCTGCAAACCTTTCAAATAAGTAAAATTCACTTCTAGACAAATGCAACTTGTTTGGAGTTAGTATTCTTTGGACTCAAATTTGTTTCAAGTCCCACTTTTTTAGGTTATATGGTAAAAGGTTAAGTTGAACTTAGGCAATTTATCTTATTCAAGCCAACTAATAATAACATTTCGTGTAAACCGTTACGAAACTAGATAGTTTTGAGCAAAGGCTAAAGATTGACTACAAATCACCAGCAAAATCACAAAGGAACAAAATTAATTCCTTTTTCCTTCATGGCTTCATTTTCCATAAACTTCACAGCCATTACTTCCTCTTCCACTTTCTCTTTCCCTTGTTCTTTCCACAAACTCGATAACCAATTATTTTCTCTTTCATTTTTCCTTTCCATCAATCACAGTTGTTTGTGATTGATGCACTAAGTGATTAATGTCAAATGAAAATATAATGCTCTCTCACGTTCTTTCACAAGCCGTACAAATGACCTTGCATTATAGAGCGATCTCTATGAACGAAACTTCAAATATTCTCATCGATACATTCATTTCTCTGTGAAACGCATTAATTGTGAATAAAAAATTCTGTTACAAAAGAAAACAGAGAACAAGAGAACAGGACTATTTTTAGGAAGACCTTAAACACCAAAAGTGCAGTGAAGGATGGTGAATCTGAAGTCACTTGTAACAACAATCTGAACTGTCAATTCTATCAATGATGAAGAAAGTAGTGCTAAACCAGTTCAAAAAGATGCCCGATCATTATTTACCACTTACCAAATACTACATCAGTTAAGGGTTAGTTTGCCAAAAAAACCTATCTCATCTTCTGAGAAATTAATTCTGAAAGCAGCAATGAACTCAGCAAATATCAGTATCATGTTCTAATTTGACTCCCTTTTTTTTTGTTGTTAACATGTATCTCAATCCATACTTATATCGGATAATACACAATGTTAAACGTGGCTAAAATTTAGTATTTCAAAGTGAAACCTTTCCTATAGAGGTACAAATTTGCTGTGGAATCTAACTGCGAATTAAAATTATTGGATCTTATCAACTGAAAACCGTTGCTAAATTGATTGAGATGGAAAATACCAGTTCGGATTTCACAATGACAGGGTTTTACTTCAGTGACAAAAAACAATATTTCGCTTTTCAGTTATACAAAAACATTTACTTTTCATAAAACTTCATAAATTCTAATAAAAAACGAAGCGAAAGAAATAACCTTTTGCATAATGCTAACAGCGCAAGCCATGCCAACTTGGCCAACACCAACCACCGTAACTTTAGAGTGCGGGGTGCGATGTGCAGGGACGATCTCCTTGAATAGTGCTGCTGTTGTCTCGCTCATTCTAAAATAAGATCTAGTCTTAATAATCTAGTCTATACTTAATAACATATTAGGTCTCACCCAGTGTCTGTATTTCCGTCTATTCTACTTCCTCAATTTCAAGATTTCCCATTAATATTTTTGATATTTTAAATAGTATTCTATCATTTGAAACTAAAACAAAAAAGTAAGGACGACACTTCAAACGTAAATTTTGCCCATTTTAAAAGTGCAGAAGTTTCATCATTTATTAATGATGGAATATGTTCTCACAATCCCCTTTTAACCAATACCCACCAAACATTTCGAAGTGTGAAACAGTTAGATGATTAACTGATGAGTTGGAATGAATTTCTCAGCTATATCCGAGTAAATGTAAAACTTTGTGCGAAGGCACCGACAAGTTTTTTCTGAAGTATTTATTCAGAAATGCAAATTTCTGGAAACTTTGACGAAAAATAAGTTTAAAATAATCACGTCTACCCGGCAAATAACTAAATTACCAAAATATCGACGAAAGTATTAACCCTATACATCTACTAATTCTCAGAATGACAAACTGGTGAACTCGAATTGATTAAGTAGTTGCGCAGTTCCCTCATCATATATGATTGCAAACAAACAACAGCAGCTGTTATAAGTACTCCAAAGTTTCGTCAGAAGCCCTTTCATTTCCTTTTCACATACTTCCTGCATTCTACCGAAGTAAAGTGCAGGAAATAAGGAAACATTTAAGTGGCAGGACTACAACGGTCTCGTAAAACGAGGAAAGAAGAATGATGGGGATGGGAAAGGCAACAACCTGACATAGCGTGGACTATCGCTGATATATGCTGCCTGCTATTTATTCATGAACGTCTTTTGTTCCTTTCTCTTCTCGGGCGTCAGCGCCTCTCAACCAATCTAATCAAAAGCTGACACCGCGTGCATGTCGCGCCCGAAACCTTTCCAATAAATGTAGCATCTACGCACTCACTCAGTTCTCCTCACTGCTTGGGCATAATCGAAAGTGTTTTCTCTTCTTTACTCTCTCCCTCCCTCATTTGTTATCATGGATGACGAGAGAGTTTTTCAGTTTCCAGCAGTAGTGAGGTCATTCAAAATTTAGCAGTATGTAAAACTCGCCGGTAGCTAACCTGACAAGAGAAACGTAAGAGGGAATTAGCGAAGATATGCTTTTATAATTAGATAGAGATGTGTGGGATGAAAATAAGTGATATTTTGAATGAAAAATGGAAAGAAAGGAATAAGTTTTTCACTATAACTCTCATTATCATCAGAGGAAACTTGCAGTGTAATTCTTTATAACTTATCCTGTATGGTGTATGGTACCCTTCCCTCTCAACAGTTGAAGCAAAATAACAGATCTCTCAAGAGCTTAGCGTACATCGAAACATTTACATACGAACTAACCTGACAGTTACCAACTGTCTTATAAATTCCAGTCTCCCTAGAAAAGCAAACATCTTTATCCTGACGTCTTATCCTTCGGATATCAGAAATATCAATCCTACAAATACCACCTTCATTCCGGAGGAACTTACGTGTCAACGCTTATTCTTCCAGAAAATCAGTTAAATCCGTATGAAATCCACTGCTGATAGTAAGAATGATAACCGTACAATAGTGCTAAGAAAGTACAAGCAGAGGGAAGTGCGCCTGTTGTCCTCAGAGAAGAGAAACAAACCGGAAAGATAATGGGACGATTGAGAAGTAGGAGAAAAACCAAAAAAAGGACGCCAGAGGTTATTCTGAAGTGACCGCCAACACATACACATCTCACAGTTGCACATAATTATGAAGACTACCTCACAGTAGTTAGTGGGGAGGGGGAAAGGTTAGGCACAAAAAGGTTATCTATAGAGACGTTCGTGGTCATTGATGGGAAGGCTGACGTCCTTCCACAGCTTCCTTGTGTTGGAGACAGCTAATTCAGGTTGCTGCTGGTATACTAATTAGCCTTTTGGCAAATCATCGCAGCGTGGAAATAAGAAACAGTTCGAATTGCATTGGACATGGCAAATTTCCAGTGCTACCATCTTTATGCATCTGTCTACGATATGATTTTGAATTTAACATGAAGGAAATTGCTAAGATTTCGATCATATGTGTTAAGAGATAAGCGACAAGTGTGTAAGGTGACCTGACAAGTTGTAAGCATATTGTTGAAGAGTGACTGTTTAAAATAAATCTTGTCGATATCATGACAGAACACGTCGAAAGTAGTGCAAATACAAGAAATGAGGGGACTATTATCAAACTGATCGAACATTTCTCAATCCTTTGGTTAGGCCTATCTCAGCAGTGTTTCAACAAAAAATGGCAAAACATGACGATTTCACGTGAATGAAGTAAGTCTCCCAAAATGAACGAATGAATATTGGAAAGAATAGCGTTCATTTTCAATGTTCATTTCTTTAAGTTAGACGTTAACGCAAAAATAACTTTCGTGAATATGGAGGATAGAAAGGCGAATTAAAAGTTAAATTTGGTTTTTACCTGGAATTCTGAAAAAAATTGGATTTCAATCTGAAATCGCTTCGTTTGCCACGTATGTTTAAATGTCAAAAACATGCAAAATAAATGTGGAAAAACTCTAATGCAAATATGCAAAAATAGGAAAAATTGTAGTGGAATTCTGTTTAAACTTATCTGTATTGTATATTAGTTGGCACAAATAGTCTAGTGTATATTTTGGTGTTAGAAAAAGTTCGGAGAAATTGCAACCAAAAGCTGAAAAAAAAGTGATTTCAACTTTATAAACATAGAGAAAAATTAATTGTAACGAAGACAAAAAGGAGGTTCGCTTTAATCTGATAACATTTATTCACTAAAGTTTACTTAAAAAGGTGCCTAATTTCTCAGCAGGAATTTTAAAACCTGTAGGTATTTGGGAAAATTTAATCTAGCTGATGCAGGGCTAAATTTTTTCAAAGACAGAACTGTTCTTCTAAAGAATAGGTTCAAAATTTTTTTCCCTTTTGGCTTATGTGTTCAAAAATCTTTTCATATTTGTCACATTTGATCTTTGATTTTGTCAGAAAAGATCGTTGCATTTAATCATCTTCCTTAACTGGCAATAGAAAGCAGAAAGAAATTTGCAATTTCAAATAAATGTTTTTGGTCAAATTATTGGTCACATTTAAGAATAAAGGATTTTTATGGCATCTTCATTTTTACAAAAACTTATGTTTGACTTCATCAAATTTTCAGGATGAAACTTAATTTTAATATTGTATATTATAAATCTACAGTGTCACAAAGTAAAGTATCAATATTGTATTCAATCTATGGAATTTCGACAATCTCAGTTTCAAATACCAGCCAAATCGTGAGAGCGCACAAAATTAGTAAGGTTGAAAAAGATACTTGAAGTAAATTTATTTTCATTCATGCGGGCACCATATTGGTAACTATCCTAATGTCAGGCATATGGTTTTATCTTTACAAAACGACGGTATGTCTTTTCCACTAACATTAGTTTTCGTGAATTCGTTTACCAATACATCAACTTAGACAATGCTAATCATCATAAAATGCTTCAGTGAAACTCAATGTGATCGTGACCTTTCAAACCTATTTGTCCACCTGGACAGACAAACATATCTAAAACCAACTACCTTTCCTGATTTGATCTTTTGTGAACAAAACTTGTTAATATTTGAGAAACAAGGAAGGTCGATTAGGAATGTGAAGTCCACAATGTACTGCTATCAATCCAAGGGCTGTTTTGTTATGATAGGAAGAATTTCTCCAACAAGTTCCACAGCCAATTCACTGATGTGTTTCAGGTTAGATGGATGATGAGATGAAAGGACGGAAGCTTCTCCTTCTCCGTGTAATTCTCAACTATATGATATTATGGCACAAAATTTATTTCGTTATCTGAGAAAAATGATTTTATAAGGATCGGTTATGATGCTGATGCAGGGATGAAAAGAGAGCTGTTTAGAAGCTATTTAGAAAGAAAAAGTCATCCATTCTTGAAAAGGAAAGAACTGAAATTGTTCCTAGTTCCACTTTTTATGCAGGTTGCTGCTATCAAGGTTAATTAAACAAGGAGAGACATGAATTTCTGCTGTGTTTTTATGTAATTTGAGTAATCAGTCCTAAGTTTGCTTGAAAAGTTGAGTTGTTCGACTTTTCTGCTTTTGATTCCTTACTCTGATAAGCTAGACCGAATTTAACTTTCAAGCTTCTATTCATATAAATTTAAACCGTTATTTCCAAGCTTCACTTAAGTGAAGTCCAGCCTGTAATTATAAAAATCAATAATTTTCTTTTTTAAAACTTCCTTTGTTTAGATTTAAAGAAATGAAAAAAGTAATCAGAACAAAGCATTTCCAAATAGTAAAGAAGGTAAAATTTGAAAATTTCAGTGTTTTTTATTTCCCATACAAAGTTGAAATGGGAAAAAAACTTCAATTCTGTCCCCAAAGAATTTTGTATCTAAAAACTCTCTCATAATGAAAGCATAGTTTGGTATAAGGAGACATATCGGAAACAGACGTTGAAATGAAATGATATGGTCATGACGCGCACGACATAATTCATACATTTATCGATTCATTTTACGCTCTCTTGGAGGGAAGGAAAAGAAGAATGTAAGGAAGAAGTGGAGTGAATCACTGATATTGATTGACTGTGCTTTTTTATCTGGATTAATTCTCATATAAGAAGGGAAAAGAATTCAAAAAATTTTACATCCAAAGAGGAACTTAAGAGAAGTTTCTTCCATTTTTCTATTACCCAACTCTTTGCATCTTTCTCATGTCTGAGGAACAGAGGTGGAAGCTATCAATTTTTAAAGTTATGCTGCTTAATAGAATGCCCAGGTTAATTACCAGTATAATTTAAAAAAATGTCATTTCAGTGATAAAAAGGTATTGTTGGCAATGTCGAAAAGTCCAAAAACGGTTGCCATGCAACATTAAGTTGGTGAAAATACTGCAATCTGCTTGGATCTTACTAAAAGTACAATAGAAAGAACGGATGAAAAAGGTGAGGGACAGTTAGCGATA